CCTGCAGCATAAATGGCTGCCCACTGCTCCAGGTGTGTGTTCACTGCTGTGTGTGTGCACTTTGGATGGGATAAATGCAGAGCACTAATTCCGAGTATGGGTCACCAAAAACTGTCACGTCTAAAATGAATACTTATTATATTGGCGAAACAGATTTGACAAACGAGCAGTGTGGAGTGGAGAGCGTCAAAGGTTTCAATTTCCAACGTTTTGACTTGAGTAATGTAGGCTAACCATTCACCGACTGCTGATTTCATGAATACAATGGCCAATCAGAGGCATAAATGTTAAAGTCCACTCACCGCTCAAAACGCCATTGATTTTGTCCAGTGCTGCTGAGTTGGCTGTACTTGCAAATAAACACGATGTAAATAAGAGATTCATTGCGTAGTGTAGAGAGGTTGAGCAATAGATGGGACAAAAATATAGATCAAAATAGATTTGCATTAAGGTCAGAGCACCCTCACTATTTTCAAAAGCACCCTCAGTGATTGATTCTGGAACCGGACTGTCCTGCTGTCATTCAGTAGCCCTCATCTCTTTTCCAAACAGGCCATTTTTTTTTTACTTCTAATAACTTAACCTCTCGATATTATATCATGTAATTTATGTTCTTAACTTGATTCATGAGAGTGGTATATTGAATCTAAATGTGTAAATATATGTTTACTTGATCAACATCACACAGTAAGAGAGTGTGTAAGGCGCCGCGCACACAATTACGCCGTTTACTGTTTGTAAATGTTGATAGGCTATGTGCTTGAGGTTTATAGATCAGACCTTTCTGACTGGCGCAAATGTATTTTGTTACATGAATGAATTAATTGACTGGATAAGGATTGGAGATGATTTTACTTTGCGTTATAAGCTTTCCGCATGCTATATTTTTTTTTCAATGGCTTTCAAAAAGTGCTGGGGACATGTACCCGTCCCACCCGCAAATTATGCCTGTGCTGGATTGACATATTTCACACTGGGAAAAAAATAGCTGTGTTATAGAAGTAACTGTCTTACAACTCTGACAGCAATTAAATGACGTCAAGGCTATAATGTGACTGGTTATCAAGGCATACATGA